AATTTCAAATAAGCCTTCTTTCTAACAGTTGTTTGCTTGTGATTCTTATCAGTTTCCACTGCATTTGACTGTCCTTTAATACTTAGAGCATTTACCTAGCTACCTGTCTGCTTCTAAATGGGCCTACACCTCTGTTTGCCTCCGTGTTCTTCTGCTCCAAAATGTTAGTAAGTCCTCTGTGCCAGAAATGCCCTGTTTGATGCCAGGAGTGATATTCAGAGGTTATCTTGAGGTTGTTAAGCATATCTTCTTGAGTTATCCTGAGACCCAGTGATGATAAAGATCATTTAAGAATTATAAGATGAGAAAAGTAACAAGTGATTTTTTTTTTATCCATTATTCAGTATCCATGATTTAAAAAATCTTTGCTTCAGCTTAATCTTAATATTGTGCCTTTACCTTTGGAAAATCTGTTCTAGACTAGTATATAGCTCTGCAAGTAGTGATATATTTTGAGTTACTGGCAGAACCTTGAAGGTATACCAGACAAATTGATGAAAATATATACCAGGGAAATAGGTATTGATTTTATTGACCAAAAAGGTTACATTTTCTCCCCTACACAGTGTTAACATAACCAGAAAAAAAACCTCCTCTCTATCCCAGCTGGAATGAATGAGAAGTCACTATTGTAATGAAGCCAAGATAAAACAGTTTCCATAAAATTCCATTTTATTTCTTAATGAACATGATGCTTTCACAAAATAGACTTATTTTTTCAAGCCTTGGCTGGTGTACTTGGGGTTAACACTGTTGGTACCCCATTACTACCTCCCTGTCTGTGTTGCTAGTAAATGGAATTGCTTGCTGATGGAACGCCAAGTTTTGCACTTAAAAAAGGAGCCTTGCTAGGTTTTGTACCGAGAAAAATAGTCTTGTACTGATGAAATAGTGTACTTTCAACTTGTGAAAAAAAGCATCTAGAAAACACTTGTTGCACCATAACACTCCAAAATGCACTTTATAACAAAACTATCAAAAATACCAAATTCTTCCAGTTGGCAAAAGTCTCAGTAAACACTTTCTTTTTCTTTTTTTTTTTTGACAAAATTTTGTTTTCAGAGTGGGTCTGGCATGTCAGAAATTGATGGGGGAGGGGATCCACAAGAAAGAAATCTGTGATTCTGTGGTAGAAGGAAAATCATGGAAGAGGATGGGTGAGCTAAGGTTATTTGGCTGGGTGTCTTGTAACAAGTGTTTCCTTAGAGACACCTTTATTGTGAGAATTACTTCAGGAGATCAGTAGCTATCTTGGGCATGAAAGAGAAGAAGGAAAAGAATAAATATGGAAAAGACTCCACATTCTGGATAATATCAGGAAAAGGGTATTCCATGAATTCTAGTGGACAAACAAAAAACTGCAACTATACTTCCTGACAGTACAAGTTACTACTCAAGATAATTGTATTTGTCAACAGGTGCTTACGTCATGCCTTCACTGTACTGTGTACAGGACTCAGTCTCAAAAGCCATGAAGGTAGAGTTTGCTGGTCCATTCCATAGGTTCTTCAATCTGCTTTATGAAGCACAAAAGTTATTGTATCTGAGGTTAGCACTTCATCCTGAAAGCTATTGCTATTCCCAGTATACATCTTCACAGTTATTACTGGATTTAGCACAAAATGGAATAGAGAAATAAAATTTCATGACAAAATTCTGTCCAGCTCCTTGGGGTTTCTGAGTCTGCTCAGGCCTTCTGCTTCCTTTGCAAAACCTCTCATTCCAGGTTTTAATGGGTTTTGCTTTTGCAACCTTTTTCGACCATCCCATTAGCAGTAGCTTCAAAGTGAAGCATGCCAGTGGTGCCTATACATCTAGTGGATGCATGAATCTGCATAATAAATGATTAGTTCTCTGAATCCAAAGGAAGAAAAACTAGAAAAGATTACCCTGGCTGTAGACCACTGTTTTAGTGAAAGGCAAAATATAAGAAACACGATCCCTGATCAGGAGGGGGCACATGAGTTCACAGAACAGCAAAGCAATGTGAGAAAACAGATCTGGAAGGGATAAAATAAGAATATTCACCTGTTCAGTGCTGTGAGATGTTAATACTTGTGTTCTGGGGAAGTGTTTATCCTCACTATGGCATTGCAATTCAAAATCTTCCTACACAAATGCAAAATCGTGACACACTAGAATTTAAAGCAGAGAGCAAACTACATAATATCTGGTTATTTCTGATGTAGCAAGAATTGCCATGTGACGATGCAGGGCTTTTTATTAGTTAGGAGAAGAGCTTAGTGTAAAATAATCCCTATCAGAAATGCTTGTGTCAAAGGACTATTAGCTGGAGGGTGACTAAGTTACAAGGCACAATGTTAAGGCCCTTTTCTGATTTCTCATCCATTTAAATCCCCAGAAAATGATCAGACTCTCTGAACAGAAACCTTTCCAAATCTATTGTTGAAATTCAGCTCATGCTATCTGTTCAGTTAAAAGCTATACCTATTCTGCGTGTTGGTTTCAATAGCACAGAACTGAAGAATGAAGTTACATGAAGATTGGCTTTGTCTCTTTTTTTTTTCCTTGAGCTTCATCTCTTAGAGCTGCTCAACCTAAATCCCTTCTTCCTCAGAGGTCCCTTTCTGACTTCCATTATAGTAAGGCAGGGAAGCAACCTCTTGCCCTTATAGGTCAAAATCTCCCTTCTAGACATATTTTTGAGCAAAAAACAAAATAGGCTAAAGAAAGCCTATGTGGTGTTGCTGTAAACCCACGTCTTTCTTTCAGAGGTATTTAAACTGATGAGGATAAGTGCAAAAGCCATGGACGCTGCAGTTCCTCCCTTTTAATCCCATCAGGATTGTTTTGCTAACAGCAGAGAGGACCTGCTAAATTATGTCCTGAAAAGAAGGGCCCAAACAAAAGAGACTCAACATACCAGTACATTTTATATAACTGAGTTGCATGTCCATGCCCAGTGAGGGCTGCCAGGGCCCGTGTGAAGAAAAGCTGGGTTGCCCTGTGCGGGACACAGCCAGTTCCAACTGACCCACCGGAGATCATGGCTGGGGCCTGCGGCCAAGATGGTTGTGCCCCTGGGGAGGTGTATTTAAAGGCAAGGATAGGCACTGAGGAGTGAAGGGAAAAAAAAGTGAGAAACAACCTTATGACCACCAAGGTCGGGGAAGAAAGAGATACTCCAGGCACTAAAGCAGGGTTTCCCTGCAGCCCAACCAAGCAGTACCACAGTGGAGCAGTTTTCACACTGCAGCTGAAGAAGGTCCTAGTACCAGAGTGGGGGGATATGCTCTGAAGGAACTGCAGTCAATGGACAGTCCACGCAGAAAAGAGGATTTTTCCCTGAAGGGATTGTATCACATGGGATGGACTCATGTTGGAATGGGGTAAAAATGTGAGCAGGAAGAAGAGGCCCTGAGGAATGTTGTGGACTGACTGCAAACCTCCATCCTCATCCCTCGGCACTGTTCAGGAGCAGGGAGGAGGTAGAGGAGTTAGGAATGAAGAAGGAAGTTGAGCCTGGGAAGAAGTTGAGGGAGGTATTATGTTAACTTTTGTCTTTGTTTCTCACTATCCAAACCTCTTTTAATTGGCAATAAATTACATTAATTTTCCCAAGGTGAGTCTGTTCTGCCTGTGACAGTAATTGACAAGTAATCTTCCTGTCCTGACCTCAACCCACAAGATTTTCATCTTATTTTCTCCCCCTTGTCCTGCTGAGGAGATGCTAGGGCGTGTCTGACAGCCAGCCAAGGTTAACCCACCACAATAACAAAAATCAGAATTAAGACCATTTGCCGTCCCAAAACAGATAACACACCGTGGCAAATTCCTTTTTCCACAAGATTATAATGTTAGAGTAAAGCTAAGCTTGATATTCCCTCCTTTTTCATTTCCTCAACAGCGAATGTGAAAACATTTTGATGTAACTGTAGTGCTACACTCACACATTAGTTTTCACACTCATGCACATTAGTTTTCACACTCACGTTCTTTACATGGTTAAATGTTTTCATTTTTAGAACACCTCCAAATTATAGGACTACATTCAAAAGCAAAGGTTAACAATAATCAACCCCTAACTTTGCTAGATTTCACAAGAACCATGTGGAAGAGAAGTTCGGGAAAGAACTTTATCACTTCCCTTAGAAAGACACAACTAGAGAGAGGACAAAGGAAGCTATGAGAACTCCCCACCTTTTATTCCATGGAAAAAATGGTAGCTCACAAAGACGCAGCCTTATCTCTACTTTTTCTAATTCTTAACACAGAGTTGTGGCATAAAAACATAAATACTTAAGGATGTTTTTTTTACTAATTTTTCTTTATGTGAGGATGCATAAGAGAACAGAGGAGCTACTCTATTGCTGCTCAGTTGCTGCTTTCTTTCCCCAGCTAATTCAGGAGTCCTCTAGAGAAGGCACGAACGTTGATCCCTATGTAGCCTTTAGGCATGAACTAGTTTTCTAACAGTATTACTGATTCCAGAATTAAGTTCCAGTCCCTTCCTTTTCCATTCCTTTAATCCTATATCCTCCATCCATATATGCACACAAATATGGGTGGACAAAATCTGCAGCATGTTATCCCTTACAGGGACAGAATCGAAGGGTAATTGTGTCTGCTTTCTCTGTGTTTCTTAAAACCCTTGGCCTAGGTTCTAAGCAAAAAGACCTCTCAAGATACATACTGATTTATACCAAGTATGAAATGCATTAAAATTCTGCTTTTAATTAATGTCAATTAGCTTTTAAGGTGAGGAGGAGAAATATTGTAACTTTGTTATGAATAGAACCCCTACCATCTCCACTCAAAGGAAATTTCTGAGGTTACAGATAGATGATACTGGAGTCCTATCCATTTTGATGTCTGATATCTGATTGCTCTAACCAGACATATAATTGTACCATTATGGTCATATTTAATTTATATAGTAAAATATATTTCAATTATAATTATTTCATTATAATTTAACAGGAGATGAAATTTAATACCTGATGTTATTTTCTCTTTCTTTTCTTCTCTTTTTTTCTCAGAACAAATTATGACATCGACATCTAAAGGAATTTTCCGGCCATTTTTTATTATCTTCATTGTCCTTGGTTGTTTCATGGCATTGATACTAATTTATATCAAACCAACAAATAGCTGGATCTCTGGTCCCATAGAATCAGCCAGCTCAGTTTTGAAAATGAAGAGCTTTTTTTCTTCCAAAACTGATAATCTTAATGAAACTACTATTTTGATCTGGGTTTGGCCATTTGGTCAAACATTTGATTTAACATCCTGCCAAACAATGTTCAATATCCACGGGTGCCATCTGACTATTGACCGCTCATTGTATAACAAATCCCATGCTGTTCTCATTCATCACAGGGATATTAGCTGGGATCTGACTAACTTACCTCAGCAAGCCAGGCCACCATTCCAGAAGTGGATTTGGATGAACTTGGAGTCTCCAACTCATACTCCACAAAAGAGTGGCATTGAACACCTGTTTAACCTGACCCTGACTTACCGGCGTGATTCAGATATTCAGGTGCCTTATGGCTTCATGATGGTTGGTACAAGTTCCTTTACATTTGAAGTGCCAAGTAAGGAAAACTTGGTCTGCTGGGTTGTAAGTAACTGGAACCCTGAGCACGCTCGAGTGAAGTATTACAATGAGCTTAGCAAATACATTGAAATCCATACCTATGGACAAGCCTTCGGAGACTACGTCAATGACAAAAACTTGATTCCAACTATTTCCACTTGCAAATTTTACCTTTCATTTGAAAATTCAATCCACAAAGATTACATTACTGAGAAACTTTACAATGCTCTTCTGGCTGGATCAGTACCAGTTGTACTGGGCCCTTCCAGAGAAAACTATGAGAACTACATTCCAGCAGACTCTTTCATACATGTGGAAGATTTTCTCTCTCCCAGAGAGCTGGCAGAATATCTTCTGATGCTTGACAAAAATAACAAGATGTACCTTAGTTATTTCAACTGGAAAAAGGATTTCTCAGTACACCTTCCTAGGTTCTGGGAATCACATGCATGTCTTGCTTGCGATCACGTGAAAAGACACCAGGAATACAAGTCCGTTGGAAATTTAGAAAAATGGTTTTGGAATTAATTAGTGTGTGTATGTGTGTGCACTTTCTTGAAGAAGCCAGAAGAAACTCCAGTGCAAGTGGAGAGGAAAGAAAAAAAAAAAAAAAAAAAGAAAAAAAGGAAGGAAAAGAGAACATTATGTCATGGTTTATCAGCTATCCTCTCTTGGCTGTCCTATTTATATTTTGTAAGAGATTTTAAAAGATCATCATCAGGAGTCATCAGTAGTTGGTTTTAAATTATAATGTACATACTAATTATGTGCACTGAAGAATACTTGATTGTTTACTATGAGTTTTAAACAAGATTTTCCACATTTTCTGTGAAATATATCCAAGTCTTACACATAAACCAGTCATTTTTAACAGTTCTCTCTTTTATTTTTTTTTTTTTTAACATTACATTTGCTGTTTAACCTATCTGGAAAATGAGGACACAACTTTACATGCCAGAGAGAACTATAAGAACATAATTTGCTGTTCCAGTCTGAAATCTGTGTAATATTTCAAAAGACAGTAAAGTTTTTTATGGTTCATCTTACATTTTAAGAACACAGTAAAGTTAAATACCTGCCATTAGTCCAATACGATCAATTTCACCCCTTTTTAAGGGTGAGGAACCTAGAAATATGATTTCTAAAAGGTATGACAGCAATAGACAGTCTTTGCTTCTAAAAGTAATATGTGTTCTAACAGATCTCTCCATTAAGTTATGTTAGGAATATGTCTGTTCTTAGTCTTTGAAGAATAAAGTCAGATATAAAGATGTACAACCTTAGTGGCCAAATCTCAAATTCATCCAAGTTTTAAGTGTATTTAAATGCAGCATGTCTTTAAGTCTCATTGTGTCTCAAGTATTGTTTACCTGAACCAGGGCTGTAAGTGGTATTACATTGATGCTACAGAGATAAACATATTTTAACATAGGTGTTTGATTACATTAGCCTAATGCACTGAATTCAGCTGGTAGTAATGGATTTTTAGAAATAGACTGTTGAGCATTTTATCAATTTCTCTCATATAATTTCTCAAATAATTGTGAATTTGTCCCCAATTCTGCAAAATTGTATCTGTTGAACTTCAATTGTAGCTGGACACCTTGCTGTTATGACTGATGAATGTGAAAAAAAAAAAGAAAATGACCAAAGAGTTTATTTTCTGAAAGAAATATGCTGAAATTCAGTAAATAAGTTATCAGGCTGACACGTTCAACCATTAAAATTGTTAAGCTAATGAAATTTGAGTTTTGAAAATATTTTATGTGACAGGTATAAAAAATGCACTCAAGAGCATCAGTTGCTATCAAAATTTGAATATATAAATAGATTCTTAAGTGTCAAGTTTTCTTTGATAGCAAATACAAAATGTGATGATTGTCATGATTGTTTAAAATGTCTGCTTTTCTGTGATTTTATTACTTACTTGTTTCAGCTAAAACTAAAATATGTGATTGATATATGCATATTTATGTGTCCAAGGTTGGTTTCATGACATAAATGTACAGATGTATTTTCGTATCAAGAGAAAGCTTGTTTTTTCAAGTCAGAACGTGTTACAAATCACATCTTCTACTGAAAAAAAAAAAAAAGTTTAACTGGAAAAGCACCAGCTTATGTGATGTATAAGACCCTGATCAAGCAAAGTAGTTGGTCATATATTTAATTAAGATTAAACTTGTAGAGAACATCGCTGAAGAAATAAGGGATAAACAATGACAAACATCTAGCAAAAGATATGGTGGTTTGTCAGATTATTTTTTTTACCCTAGGTTGGAATAGAAACATAAAAGGCTGTAAGAGTAATGTAGTCAAATGTCTAAACCAGGAAACTCCACAGGAAGCTTACAGAAACACTTATGCTCTCCCTATGGCTTCAAAAGCTGGATTCTGATCTGGATATTTATTTATACTACTTATTGCTGTCTTTAAAAGCCAGTTTACGAAACTCACAAGCATTCGAATACAAAGGAAAAGAGCTTACCTTGCAAATTAATGTAGTATGATGAAAACCAGACTTCTAAAAAGAAAATTCTGGTATGGATGTATATGTAAGTAGATGTGAGTAGTGTTTCCATCATTTAAAGCAAGTGGCTATTGCCTACAGTCTGTCCTATAGGATATAACACCTTTTGTTTTCAGGAGGGCAGTGAAATCCTCAGTCACTGAATATACCACTGCTTTGGCTGAATAATCTGATTCCCCTGATGCTGGAATTTGGAAGTTATTTGCATTGATCTCAGTGGAATTGCATTCACCCCTTAGTGAATGCACACAGTCAATTCATTCCTCATTTCAGATAGTGGGAGTTGTTTTGTGTGTCACAAGGCCTTATATCAAATCAGATTGGTTTCTTGGCATCAAGATTTAGCCAATAAATTCTTATACTAATAACAAGTAAGCCCAATAATAAGATATATGATTTGTTACTACAAATATCAATGAGTGTATGCACAGGGAAGCTTTGAAATACGTGCTGATTTGTAAGCCTGTGAGTAATGTCATTACCTCTGTGAGCACTGGATCCAGTCAGCGTGGCTAATCTGAAATTTTAAGTCATTGAAAATCTTATGATGGAACAGGAAGGAGAGCTGTTCTCTTCACAAAAACTCCACACATGGCCAGTATATTTTGCTTTTGGGACACATTGCTAAAATCATTTCAGAGACTAATGAAACAGGAGAGAAATCTAATCCAGATTGAAATGACCAAGAATCATGACCAAATTCTAAACAAGAGACATGAAGAGACATGACCCACTGACATTCTTGGAGTGTGGGCTGGAACATAAATAAGCCAGACATTTATGTTAGTCTGCATCTGCAAGTATCAAACATTGAGCAGCTCTGGATATAAAGAGCACTGATGGCAGAAGATGAATCATCTTATGGCATGTCCAGCCTACGTAGTAAATGATGTGAAGTGAAGGATGTAAAACATCTGGACTCCTTGCATGCAGAAAGGCAGTCCACCTAAACTTATATACCTATATTACTATATTATACTTATATACCTTATATTGATTCCAGTTTAGATACATAACATTGTGTTCTGATGTCTGTGCTCACTCAGTGAGCTACCCTACATGAACAGCCTAGCATAAATAAATTCAAATAACAAATCTTTGTGAAGGAGAATGGGCAAAACCAATTAAGTATGGATTAAAATATATAATTAATATATGGAACTAGTTCAAATAAAGAATACAATATTATTTACGCCTTGCTACCGCTGGTAAAGAAGGTAGCTGTATAAGAAAAGAGAAATGAAAGATGAGAAATCACACCAATTCTTACTATCTTCTCAACAAAATTATGTCAAGTATTCAGTTTATTTTATTTACCAGTCCACAATAACCTCCCATATGCACTTGTCACAAGTTAACTCAGCAGTCACTGAAGACAGGGAGCAATCATTATTCTTCCTTTTACGACTTCTTTTGGATGTTTTTAGGCTCTCTGTCATGCACAGAGCTATCAACATTACTGCCTTTCTCAGTGTGGAAAATAAGAACCAAACCAGGTAAAATACTAACTGCAGATGCATTGATACCCTGAATGTGAACATCCATCAGTCAGAACTAGCAGCAGATCCTTCTAAAGCAGAATTTTTATTTAATTTCACAAACATTCAGTGACCACAGTAGCTCTTGCTCTACAGATCTCCATCCCTTAGTGAATTCTGGTTGCCACTTTCTTTAAATACCTCTTGCTGTCTAAGGTGGCTGTACTCATAATGAAGCAGCAGCCTGACCGAAGCCCCCAGAAGTTGCAAGACACATCCAACAACATATTTGTCTTTTAAGAAATATATCAAATAAAATGAATGTTGGACTGAGCAAGAATATATGTGGAGATTTCTAGAGTTCATGCTTTTTTGATTTTGAAGTAAATTTTCCTGTCCTCATACAGTAAGATTTTCTGGACCTGATTCAAGAATAACCTTCAGCATATATGCATATGATCCTGAGACTCAAGCACGGACTTAAATTTAAGAGCATCTTAAATGCTTTAATGCACTGGGGATTCAAACAGTATGTTTTTGCTGCCTTTGGAACTGTGCCAGAGAATACAGTCTGTAACCAACAGAGGCTGATTTGTGCAGCCTTTTGCATTATGTGTGTCCGTTCTATGAGTAGACTGGCTATTCCACACTGAAAACTGTTTGGACCAATTCTGCCTTAGAGTTTATTCAATACGCTTTGGCCCTACTCTTCTGCTTCAGCATACTATATATGCTACCATTGCCTCATGCCATTCACTCAGCATGGCACTCCACCCAACCTCCTGCCTGTGCTGTGCAGGGTGAATGAACTTGCGTGCCATGTAAGGAGCTGAGAGGAGCTGAGGCTTGCTTAGATAGTATTTCAAGGACCTGGTCATGCGTGCATTCTTTTAATGTGGACTGAGTGTGCCCTGGAGAGGGTCAGTCTCAGCCATACCTCATTTTCCTTTTGGAAGAATATATTTGATTCAGCCTAGATGGGACCCTGTGAGGGATCAGCTGTGCATGAAGAGTGGGAACAAGGGTTGTATCTGTACAGGCTGATGAGGCTTCTCACCTATTTAAATCTAACAGTGAAAGTTAATCAAATACTCAAGTGTTTCCTTGGTCAAAACTAGTACATTACTGAGAAGACAGTCTAGGGGAAATATTTGTTTATCTACCAGTTGGTAGGCTTTTTCATTAATATTGACTGACAGTTCTGTTTTGTTTGGTTTTAGTGTGTTTTAATTGTTAGAAATCAATCAATATGATTCATAGAAAATAGTTATTTCAGCTTCATCTTTCACTCCTTGCTCAGGCAAATCTTCCATGAAAGTCAGCAGGTGATTTGGGAAATTTCCATGCTAGTAATAATGCACTGAGCCAAGGGCAGAATGGTTGGGGTAACAAATCACCTTCTTATTCATGGATGTTTCTCTTCTAATATTTGAATAACTAGTTCAAGTGTTATAAAATATTCTACCTTCAGAAAATCAGTATAAAATTCATACTGGTTAGATATGTTCATAAAAGGTACAGAAACACCAAGAAATTTATTAAATAAACCGTGCAGCAGTAATTTTAACTGATGGTACAAATGCCACAGGTTGATGCAGATGATAAAAACATAAACTCCTGGGAAATTATTAGGTCAAGAGACATCACCCTGCAATTTTCATATTGAAAAAAGTCACTTCATTAATCCTTTGGAAAGATAATTAATTTGGAATCTTTTATGTCATCATATTCTTTACTCAATTAACTGAAACCCACAGTCCTTGTGCAGTGAACAGTTCAGAGATTTGCTCATGTGGCAGAGAGCCTTTTACCTCCAGGTTAATAGCCTGTATTATGAGTAGGTTGATACATACAGCTGCTTGGCAACCTCTTGTAGGTGACTTGGTGATCTCAGTCAGGTTTCTCATTCCTGCTTTCAGCCAAGGAGGCATAGAACTGAACCAAAACTCATCGGACATCTGCGTGTTTCTTGACACACTCACAGGATGACTTAGGACACTCTCACAACTGCAGTCTGTACCATACCTGTTTAGGCAGAAGACTTTGCTGTTCCAAGAAATGAACACTGGTATTTTTCTGAGTTATGGTGACAGTCTGTAAAAATGAAGTATTCATACAGGGGGAGCTCTTCATTAACATTCCTAAGTAAGTAATTAGTAGGAAAATCATTTAATCATTGCAAGTTGGCAGCAAAAGCAATTGTTTGTTATTCTTTATATGAATTAGTCCAGTCAAAATCAGGCTTTGATGGAACTTTATCCCCATGGCTTAATACAGTCAGATACAGGCACATACATGATAGCAAAATTTGAAAGACATACAGTAAACCAACACCTACATATATATAAAGTTGGCATAAATTTCCTATAGAGCTTTGAAACTCTAACTAAACACTTTAGCAGTCACCAGATGAAAAATGTTGTCATCAATCCCTTTATAACATGATAAGAAAAGTCCCCTGATATATGGTCTTTGGCAAATAAATTAACCCAAAATCTACGTATTCCTATGCTGTTTTGTTTTGTAATACACATTATGAGAGATGAGATTTAAAAGTCTGGAAAGTTAACTCCTTGGTGCAATTTAATGTTTTAAAGATTCAGTGAATATACTGAAGAGAAGAAAATGAGAAGTTTTTCCATCTATACAAAATCCTAACATGCCAAACTGTTTCCAGTGAATAAGCAAAACGGTTAAATATAGTGACTTTTTATTAGGATTTGCAAAACCTTCTATTAACACACTGTAATTTTGCACTATTTTGTAAGAAAAGAAAAAAGGAAAATGAAAAAAGGAACTGAAAAATAAACAAAAAAAATCTAAAAATAGATGCCAAATGTATAGTTTGTAAAATACTATTTTTCTTAAATTAGGTGTCATCACATTGTGAATCTTACTGTGTTATAGTAAACTGTGAAAACTGTGATGTACTGTTGTGACACCGCCTACCAAGGGACATTTCTAACACACAGAATAGTCACCTGGACTTGTTTATATGAAACATAGTCATAAATCTGAGACCACTTTTATACTTATTTTTTGTAGACTATTTTTCCACATTTACAGCACAACTGTTATTTTATATCAGACATTAATTTTGCTTTAAAATATTATTTGAATAGGTGGGTGGGTGTCTTAAATGTGCCAGATTCAAATCTGTAACAAAGATAATTCAGAAACTCTTCTTTGCCAAACTGTAACGCTACTGAAATCAAAGATGTTTTGTTGAACACACAGGCTTGTTGTCAATTAATGACAGTTTCTATTCCATGATAATGGTAATAATGTTACACTTTTTTAGATAAATGCCTGGTAGTTATGAGCTGCATTTCTCTTCTGTTCTTCTGTATGTTGGGGAAATGAAACTGAGTGCCATAGCTGAATGTCATAGATATTCAGACACTCACATAATGTGCCATGGACTTAACCTCT